GAGCCCGCACTGCCCCTGATAGGAAGAAGGAGACAAGCCAAGTGGACATCAAAATAGTTTTATACAGATTATTGGATCTCAGTATACAGGTAAAAAACAGAGGCTGAGGGCAGAGCCAGGCCTCGCTCCCGCCGCCGGGAAAAGGCGATTCAAGTCCCTTAAAAACGGACATTTGAAGGCACAGTGCATGGACCGACACGCTCCAGGGACAAGCGCCCGCGGGGGACCGGCTCGGACAGATGGACGGACAGACAGCGAGGGGAGGCTGCTCCTGCCCTCCCCAAACTGGCGACAAACAGCCCCCGTGTTCCTGCTGCGGCCCCGAGCACGGAGCGAGAGCCAGACCCCCCCAGTCCTGCTGTGTAAAGGCTCATGTGTTGGCAAAACATCTCAAACCCACTCAGAACCACACACCTACTGCAAGCTAATGGCAAAAACCACTCTCAGAGGGAAAGGGCCACTTCTAAGGAGGGTTATTGCTAGTGGGACAAAGCAAGGCCAGCTCAGTCCAGCACCTGCTGCCAGAGCAAACAAAACCCAAACAGAGCCCTAAGGGCCATTTGCAAACTTAAGTTGAATATAAAACCCAGCTGTGTCTCTTGTTAAAGCCCTCAGAAGCAGGAGAAGTTCAGAGGTGAGGCAGAGCTAACACTATTGAGTGCTGGTGTGCTGCAGCCCATCACACATGGGAAAGGGTCATGGCCTAAAGCACAGCCCTGCTCAGCACCATGAGCTGGGAGCAGGCAGAGGGATGTTCATGGCTCAAGAGCAGCTCGTTCACACCACAGCAATGCAGGACAGGAGCACAAGGAATGCTCAGCCTCCTCTCCCTGCACCCAAGCCCCATCTAAAGACACATTTCTTGCAATAGAATTCACTGTGGAAGGGGGAAGGTCTCCAGGTGGGTAAGGGTTATCTTTGTCCCTCCAGCTGGCTGCATAAAATCAGTTGGGACTATGAGCATGAGCACGTGCCTCTGGAAGGACACCTACCACCTACCGGGGTGAGGAACTGCTCCCTCCCCAGGTGACAGGGCCCAGCAGCCTTCAACGGGGAACCCACTGCCCTGTTTCCATAGAGAAGACCAGGTCAGAGCCCTGCAGAACACCCCTCAATACACACCATGTGTAGGATTCACTAGTCTATCTCCCCAGGTTGCTGGAGAACAGATCAGCTCAGGGCAAAGTAGATGCCCAAGAGATCGCTGTGCCAGGCTCCTGCACCCTGGAGTTCGAGTAGGGCAAAGATTAAAAAAGAACATGAGCAGCAAGACTAAGTGCCTATTCTAAGCCCAACCTTCTGTCCAGAAAGCACAGGAACATCAGAGATGCATAAAGGCTTTGGAAATCAAACGGTTCAGCATTCTTCCCTTCTGACCATCACTTCTATTTCCCCCAGACCCCCCATGCCTGGGGGATGCACAGTGCAGCTCCCCTTTCCTGCCAAGTGCTACAAAACAGGACGTGCCTGCTTTTCCCTTCCCCTTCAGGACAGCCTTTCAGCCCTTCCTCACACCTTGCATCCAGACCCCACAGCAGCAGACACACAAGCAGGTGGAGCTCTTGCTACATACTTCAGGGCACAACAGAGCCAAGCCAGCAGGCTAAGTGACACCTACCATGACCAGAGCTTGATGAGAGGGTGTTGCCAAAGTGCTCTGATCACTAAATGGTATTAGGTTCAGCTTTTCTTCAAAATTTAGGACTGAAATTGGGCCATGGATACTCCCATGACCTCTCCCTGCTGCTCCAATAATGTTCAATACAAAGCAGTGGTCACATTTCACTGTTTCCTCCTGAACAGTGGTAGACTTGAGCAAGACTGCTCAGGTGGAGTCAGTAACTGATTGCTTTTCTGACAGTATCCAACACCACTAGTTTATCCATCTGTTTAGAACAACCTCCAGTTGCTCTTTCACACACTGTGCTGTTGCAATGCTAACTTGAAACCAAAGGCCAAGTCTACAACAGAAATGAAAAGCAATCAGAGGTGATGGGGATAAAGCTTCTTTCTTCCCCAGAAGTCAGGAAGAGCAGTACCACAGAGCTGGCAAGCAACTGAACTTTGTCAGGGCCCACTGATGCTCTGACATTCGCTCCTTTCTCCAGCTCACATCAAGAACGGATGTCATCTCCCCCAGGTTTCACTGCTGATCATAGTAGGCCACAGCATCTCCTCGTGGGGAGAAGCTCCAACGGGGCAGCTAAGAACCAAGGGATGGTTCCTCTGGTGGGGGGGGAGGTCTTTTTCCAAGGGCTGCGCTGCAGAACGTGGAGTCAAGTGAAGGATAGGGCTTCCCCCAAGTACAGTGAGGAAAACATGGAATCAAAACAGGTAGAGAAACTGCTTTGGAGTGTTGTAACTATGACTCCCTGCAGGTCTCAAGGCACTTCCCCACCATCTGCTTGCTGTGTTGAGATGCTGGGGAAGTGCTAGGAACTCTGCTGGCCACCCTGTTAAGTTGCCTTTCAAACAACCTCACGTGAACCTCCAGATCTTGATCCAAAAACGTAACAAGCAGTGTCCTTAGCCTGAAACCAGCCCTCAACACCCACTAATTTGCATGTACATAGGAACAGAGCAAATAGAGGGGAGCTGGGAGCAGCCACCCACACCTCTGGAGGACACATCCTGCAAGCTAATGTTTCAAAACTGAACCACAGGGATCGGCCCTCGCCACCGGGTCTGGTCCATTGGAACCTCCCTCCCTGCCCGAGGGGTGTCAGTGTTTGCTGGAGTACAGTGTTTCTTCTTCAGTGTCTGTTTCATCCTGGAATTCGTGGCTCAGGAGGGACTTCTTTGAGCCCGTGGACATCATGCGGATTTCGTCCTCGTAATCGTCGTGGTGCTGCCGGAGGCGGTGGAAACCATCCTTGTGTCTATTGGATTTAATGGAGCAGACACACCAGATGATACAGGCAGTGAGGACCAGAGCAGACATACTTGCACCTGCCAGAGAGAAAACATCAAAGTTAATGGCATGTTCCCTCACCCCAGAGACTCCAGAGTTTGCCACCATCTCTCTTCCCTTCCTCAATCACAGCTACACTCCTCGCTTCGCTGTGACCCTGCTCCTTCCTCCTAGGCCACAGCAGATACACCATGCGAGAGAGGTGCTTCCAGAGCAGGACTGCACTAGCTTTATTTTCTGTGCTCACAGTCCAGGATAGCACCACTGCTCTCTGCAGGCCACTGGGCACAAACTCTTGCCTCCCGGCAGCTGCCACCTTGACAAAATGAGTAAGTAGAAATCTTGTAATGCTTCCCTGGTGCCACAGCACCTTGAGGAAGGATCAAGATCTCCCAGCTCCACACACAACCAGGTTTTCCCCATTCCAGGCATGTCAAAGTCCATTCTAGACCCTTCAGACCCCTGCGACATCCTCTTTCTCCCTCCCTCTCCTCTGCTAGCTCAGCATCACCAGATCCAGAGTTTGTTGGACCAGTTTGCAAGGACAAGCACGTATTCAGAAGGGAAAGCAGGAGATGGCTTCTGTCTTCAGGCGACTTTTCCAGTTCAGTGAAAGGTCATTGTCAACATGAACCAGTTTAGAAAGCAAAGCTCAAAGCTTTGATCAGTTGTGTCACATTACCTGCAACAGTTACAACCAGCTCCCTTGGCAGACCAAATATCCTGTTTTCTGTGTCAAATACAATCAACACGGAGCTGGGTGCATCGTGACGGACAAAGACCTGCAGAAAGATACAAGAGCTCTGAGTGTCTCAAAGAGTGCACCTCTCTTGGGTGTCAAGATGAAAGAGATACTTGGCATCCACCCAGTCCTGCCCTGGCCAGCAAAGACAAGTGCAATGGGAAGAAAAGCCACTGCCTGAAACAACCCTGCTGTGCTGGGAAATTCTTCTCCATTCACTACATCAAAGCAGAAAGCAGCTACCTGGGCACACAACCAGCAGCTAAACACAGCCAAAGCAGATCCCAAACAGGGAGGCCTTGACATGACAGGGAGCAAGGGGAAAATCTCCAATACAGACATTCACATACCTTGACATGTTTCTGCTGGTACCCTTCAGCTACTGCACTGATGCTGTGCAAACCTGGAGCCAACAGCACATGGAAATAGCCACCTTCTTTAGTAAAGACCCTCAAACCTTCATTAAGAACAATGACAGCTTTAGAAATTGCCTTGCCACTCTTGTCTTGGACAAAGCCATGGACTCCCTTATGGACCTGAAATAAAGCATTTCAAACACTTCACATTCAGATCCACATATGTGGCACATTTGTAACTAAAACCTGTAACTAACCTTCCCCTCAAAACACAGCCCATTCTCCATCCCTGACCCCCAGAACAAATAAAAGTGCACAGCACTGCAAGGGCTGCTCTGCCCACTGTGAGGCAACACAGCACAGATGGTTAACTCTCAGGTCAACATATATTCAGGTCACTTGCTGCCTCTGTTCAATTCATTCCTCACACAGTCTATATTATGACTGTCTGTAACCACCCAGCACTAACAACGCCACAAAGACCCTCCATCCTGTTCTCTTCCTCCTCACCCAGCCCGCTACCTTCACTCCTTGCCAGAATTTGCTCCCCAGCTGTGGCTCACCTCCACCAGCATGCTAAGGAGAGACTTCCTGTGCTCTGCCCACAGGCTGGGAAGCTGTCCTGCACTCGGGAAGTAGCAGCAGCTGGTATAAACAGTGATCTCAGGACAGTGACCAAACGTGACGCTGAAATCCTGCAAAAGCCAAAACCACAGTTACAAAAGAGGTGGTATTCAAAAAGCTTTGCAGAGCACAGCTGGCGGTGGGGCACTTTTTGCTCACACATCAGAGCAAATGCACTTTTTAATGCTTGTTTAGCAGAGATAGGAAGCCTCGTGCCGTGATGAAGTACCTTCATACTCCCCAAGTGACTGTGCCATTCAGAGCCACGGATCACACCACCAGGAATATTCTCATCTGTGAGAGCAACAACACAGCTGTCAGACAGAGTCCAGCACATGCTGATGGAGGGGTTAAAGGATTCAACCAAACGTACCTGACTTATTGGGACAGCCTGGCTGGCCCAAATGCATCAGTGGATGGTTGCTTGCATACACAGATGCCAAATGCTTCAGTGTTTCTTTGTTCTTCACTACAAAGAAAGAAGTCAGACTTTGAGAGTGCAGCTCCCGTTCACTGTGGGGCAGATTCCCATTCTAACCCCATGATCCTATATTAATCAGAAACACGTTGTTTCAGAGCCATTCCAGATTTTCTCTGACACTGAGGGTGGTATCGAAAGCAGATTTCATAGTGGCTTTAGCAGAAAGGTTGAACTAGAACAGAAATAGTAAGTGTTCTGCCCCCCTGCTGAATCCTGTGAGGTTTTATAACTTTCCTTAGCAGACTGTCAACCCCACACACAAAGGACTGGACACAGAAGGAGGCTACAGAACACCACCAGCACTAAAAGCTCTTACACCATGCAGTCACATGAACTTCTGCAGAGAGAGGCATGCAAGGCCCTGGAGGAGTTCATCATACCTGTTTGTGATGGGTTGTCATATGGGTAAGTGACAAGCAGAGATCCTCCATCTAGTGCAACAGAGAGGCTGAAATCCTGCTTCAATATCAAGTTCTCCACGATGGCCTTGGTCTCAGGCTCTCGTGTGTCCAAGTTTTGGGAATAATTGCCTATAAATCAGAACAACAAATAGAAAAGCAAATTTACAACAGTTTCCTCTGCTGTTTGAAAGGCCAGAAGAACATTCTTTCTTTATGCCTGTAATTAAGTTTGCTGCACGTATTATGCAGCAGATGCACCTGACAGGTCAAGTAAAGCACCTAGTCCACTCTACCCACGGGGAGAACTCATCTGCAAAGCTAAACAGATGTGACACATCACTATTTCATGTGTGTTTGCTCTCAATGTCACCAACGACATGAAAGCATTTGGGATAACTGCAGCCAACCTCACCAGAAAGAACACTTTGCCCCCAGAAAGGGTGGGCATAGCACTGATACAGGGCTATGGATACAGCAGACAGTTACTGAAACCAGAAAAACATAGAAAATAAAAGGAGACTTTCTGGGGTGCATGAGCAGAGGCCACTTTTCAGAAATCAGGGATTGAAAGAAATCTGTTAACACGAAAAATACATCAGGTGTTGTCCAACCTCTGGACTATTCCTAAAGAGCTCTGCTCTACCTTTTCTTTGCAAATAAGAAGCTGCAAATTACCACCTGTAAGGGGGACCAAAGCTTCGCAGAAGCTCTGCTGCCTGGGCTCCAGGGCAGGAGTACTGCTTTCTGTAACCAAACCACTACACCCAACCCTAGAGCAGCCACAAAGAGCCTTCTGCAGCAGCCTGCACTACTACAGGGGCACCACACATCTCTGTGCTTCAGTTTGCTTTACTTGTGAAGTCTGTGTCCAGATCTCTGCCACGAGCATTAGCGTGGCCTGTCTTCGAGGTGCAGCCTCTCTCCTGGGCTATCTCACGTCCATCTGGATTCAGGGAAGGCACAATCACAATCCGTGTTCGGTCAATCAGCTGAACAAAAAGAAGGAAGTACATAAGTGCAATTAGTAGGGTTCATTTGCCTGGATCTCATCCTAGGAATTGCAGTGAGAGGTTCCCGCTCGCCCCGAGGATCTCATAACACCTCCCCCTTTACACATAGGATCACTGCAAGTCAGTGTTAACAAGGCAAGTCACTCTCAGTGAGCAGTCTTCTCAGGATATAGCTGGAAGACTCCAAGATGTTCCCTTGCATTGATTCCTCACCTTTGTAACAGCAGTGTTCTTCTTGTAATTCATGCAAAGGAATTCTGCCAGTGACAGCAGCAGCTCTGTACCAACAGGAGCATTTCCATGAATACCAGCAACAAAGCGGATCTTTGGCTCCTCAGGCTCGGACTGGTTGGGCTTGTTGGAGATTTCAAGGGACCAGATCTGACGAAACTCAATGCTCTGACCCAAACTGCCAAGAGATGAAAAGCAGAACGTGAGCTCAGAGAGCTGCACCCCTGGCACAGGGAGGAAATGCTGCCAGCCTCCAACAGGAGGCTGCAAAGACAAGTGTCAGACAAAACACAGCCACATCCCAAGAGCAGATTTGCAGCAACACTGAGCAGAATTCATTATGAACACCAGTTTGAACACAAGCATCTGTGGAAATATGTATCCAGGTCCAGATGCACAGGACACCAAATGCTCTGTATAACTCTATATAGCTTAGGACAATAAATGTGTAACTGCTAAATGCCTCTGTGCTTCCATTTGCTTTGTTTGTGGGGTTTTTTTCTTCCTTCAAAGCAAGATACATCTGGACATTAACCTAATTTATACAGCAGAGGACAAAAGCAGGCCTATTTCCAGTAATGCAGAACTTGTTGCTACAGTCATGCCATTAAGTTAGCAAATGGAATGCAAGCAAAGCAGGGAACACAGCTCGGGCTGATGCAACTGGAAGGACAATAGAGGCTACAGATGAGAAAAGCAGCTTTGGCACCAGTTGGGACAGCACATGAGCACGTTGTGCCTGGTAACAACAAGCAAATGAGGTGCTGGGACAAAGAGATTTGTGCTTTGTAAAGCTGACAGAGGGCAAGCGCTACAGGTCACAAAGAATAGGAGAGGACTGCAGCAGCTGCTCTCCTGCAGGAAGGAAGAGAGCTTGGCTCAAGGCAAGCTAACTCAAACAGATCTTGCACTGCTCAATCAAAAACTGAAGGCAGACAATCAAAAAGGCCATCCGAGATCTGCAAGTCAAACTGATCACTTTTTCTGGAGACTCTTTAGCAGGGTGGATCTCAGAAAGGATTTGGAAAACAGAGGAAATAAAGAGCATGGAACAGGGATATTTTGCAGACACTTGGGATACCAATGCTGGAATATCACCAGTCCCAGGCACTCCTGGGGAACTGACAGCACCCCAGGTTTAAGGCAGTAAAACATGTCTCTGGAAAAAGCACACGGATGCATCTGCAAGTCCCAACAGCCACTGCTCTGCCACCAAGCCCTTACACACGGGGCTCCCTCAAACCACAGGGAAGGGGAGGGATGAGCTCCCCGTCTCTGCACTGTGCTCATGGCTCATCGTTTCATTACTTCCCTACCACAGGCTGCTGCTCGGGGAAGAGCTGAGCAGTTCTGCTGTGAGTTGTCACCTGGTGAGATTTGTGATGTGTGGGTAGTTCAGGTAGAGGCCTCGGAGGAACTCGGAGAGGTCCTTGTAAGTGCGGTATCGGTAGGGAGCGACATTCCCTGATGAGGTGAGCAGGAGGCGCTCCAGGCCGTTCTCAGCAGAGAGATCTTTGATCAGGGTCTCAAACTCCTTCTCATTGGGGTCACTGGTGTCTGGGGTGTTCAAGACTGGCACCTTCCCCTCCTCCACTTTGATGTCTGTCCGTGAAAGAGTGAAGTTGACCTGAACGCCACCTCTGCTGCCAACTTCCACCGTCTTAGTGACTGGATCATACCTGCCCAGGGAAGAGAAGGCACAAAGAAACATCAGGCATTTGAGACCTCACCCAACAAACCATCCCCCTTCCTGAATAGACACTTACATGAGACTGCTACTGCTCCCAGCCAAAAGGGAGACATGTGAAAATGAAGGGCAAGAACACTTCAAAGGGACATGGGAATGGCAGGAGGACAGAGAGCAGCTCAGGGCTCAACATGGCGCTGGGCTGCTTTTGGCTCAGGTGTTGCAGGGTTACGTGGCAGACTGGCAGCACAACAAGTCAGGCTGCTTCAACACAGAGGTTTTGGCAGCAGTTGGAAGTGATGAAGTCATTTCTGTGGGCAGCTGCCAGCAAGAGAATTTCCCCTAAAGGCATTAAGTTATCAACTCCTTCCCTACATCACCTCCTAACAAGGGACGGTTTGGACTGCATACCAGTGCCAGTGAGCAGTCTTTGACATCCAGCTAGCATCACATTGCTAAGTCTGCACAGGCCAGAGGGCAGAAAAAACCACCCATGTCTACATCTGCTGTAGGGCAGAGGTGATGGGACTCCTCCTGACTGGGAAGTCAGTTGTGATGCTGTTTGCTCACCCTCTGGCAGATGCTGTGATTTTGTACGTCCCCTGGACCAAGAGGCGCCAGTAGTCTCCATCCTTGTAGGTGGTCACTGGGTGGTTGATGTCAGCGACGCTGATGGTGGCGTTCAGGATGCCCCTTCCATCCACAGCATCCAGCACAAAGCCCCGGACGCCGCGGTGAACCTGCACACAGCCCCAGAGCCCTGCTGAGTGCCAGCCCTCGCTCTGCCCCCACCCCTCACATCCCTATGGGAGCACTGACACCCAGATCCCACCACCTCCCAGCTCAGGAGGTTCAGCATTCCCAGAGACATGTTCCAAAAGGGTTCAGGTTCAACTTGCCAGCAGCTGGCGTGGACAACTATCACCTGGCTTGGTGATAGTTGGCTTGGTTTGGCTCAGGGTGCCACCATAGCACTCCCTGCTCCACACCTTTGTTTGTATGCTCTGGGTGTGCAGCACTACCACCAGCCCCAACCCAGATGGGAATAGCACATAAGGGCCACTCCAGCCTAGGGAAAGCCAAGGCAGTGCTAAATAAAAAGCCCACACTGTCATCACCTGGCTGCTACATGGATTTTTTGTGTGTTGAGAAGGAGAGAAGAGGAGTTGAGATATGTTCTGATGAGGATGATTTCTGTGGAGCAGGTACCCGGTGTGGCCAGGAAGCAGCACTCACTTCAGCCCACACATCAGTGCATTCATTCTGGCACGTCTAATGCAAAGCCCAGAGGCAGCTCCCACAAGTGCTTGAGGTCAAAGTGTCTCTCACCTGCTTCATGAACTGGAGGAGGGATCGGCGGTTCTGCTCCCAGTACTTGGGCAGCTCCTCAGCTTTTGGGTACTTCATACAGCCCAACTCAATGGTCACTTCAAAGCAGTTTGTATGTAAGTAATTCCAGTCTTGCATCCCACCTACAACAGGAATGTGAAAAAGGTTTTGACAAGGTCTCCTGAAGGCAACTGTACCGCAGCTCTAGACAAAAACGTGTATCAGATAGCAGAGAAAGATAAACTACAGCACACATTTTACAGTTGAAGAGAGAAGGCTTTTACACAGGGTAAGATTTAAGCTTCAAAGGGAAACCAGACCAGCAGACAAATAACCATCCTTCTTGTAAATACCTTTCATGCTAATATATGGCTGTAAAATTTTATTAAACCATTTTGCTAATAACCAGAAAAACTACACTATAAATTCCTTCCCCCAGGAAGAGGTTATAAAAGAAACCCAAGTTCCAGTCATCTGGGCTGACCAATGCAGAGTTTAGTGCTTTGATCAGACTGAAATCTTTAAGCTGCACATGAATTAACTTGGGGACAAACAGCGTAAGTGATTTAAGGTCTACTTTACCTGGAACGTTGTACCACTGAGCCCCGTTAGTGATGCCATGTGGGAAGTACTCAGTGGGGTACATATCCTTACAAGGGCTTCCCTGGTACATCTTTGCATTTTCCTATAAAACAAGATGCAACATGTGAAGCCAAGTCTGCTCTCCACAGGCACCGGCACTTCTGTCCTGACATGAGTCACACACTTGGGGTTACAAAGCACAGAGGATCCTGTAGACGTGTTTGTGTGGCTGCAGTCTGTGCTGCAGCCCCAACCCCAACCCCTCCTTGCCCTCCTCCCAGCCCATATACAGCATTTTCTACCACCCTTCAGTGTGTCAGCCCCCGTGCCCCAGGAGTTATCCCAGCAGGATGTGCCCGTCTTCCTGTTATAGCTTTACCTTGGAGTAGGAAAGTGCCAACTGCTGAAACACAGCATCGTCTGGGGATTTACTGTATATGGCTATTCCTTGCTCATCATCATCAAAGGGGTAATTAACCACCAGAGAACCTGCAGGGGAAACAAGCTTTGACTCATACTTGCACACTTTCCAAGTGATCCCTCAGCCTAACAGGGGAAATTTTACCTTTTCTCCAACCAGTACCAATGTTCTGCTTCTCAAGACTTGGCATTAAACAAAGCATTAAACCCGGTGGATAGAAGAGACAACAAAAGCACAGGAAGAGAAAAGATCACACCCAATTGGGAAAGTGAACCCAAGCCACGACACATCAAAGGTTTGGCTCTTATAAGGTTGTGCTCATCACTCCTCTATGTAATAATCGCTTTCAGAAGAGGGAAAGCAAGGGGAGGGATTTCCCAGAACATGCACAGTGCCCTTGGCCCAACTGCTGTAGTTTTTCAGCCTTCTGGAGCTAATTGCAAGCACTGACAGATTATAACACCTTTGGCTTGCTGAAGCTTTCCCCAAGCAAGTTGTACTAATAGCACTGTGGAAGCCCAGACACCACCACTGCTGGAGAGCTGCCAGCTCCCTCATACCCACACACGGTACTGCTGCACGACAGAATTCAACATCCTAGCACAAAGCAGCCACCTGAACGTTACCACAGCTACAAGCCAGCAGACAAACCGTCTAGGGAATAAGCTGTAATACAGAGATTTAATTTACATCACTCCAAAAAGATAATTAAATTACAGCAAATGTCATAGTTCTGCCATGCGACTCACGGCAGGGAACCCTCAGGATTACATCTTGTTCCCTTCACTCTATAACTGTTTCGAAGCCTTTAACAGCCACGGCACTGTATCACATTCCCAGAACCAGCTGCTGAGCAACCACTCAGGAGAGCATCCATCCCCATCTCCCCGTGAGCAGCATGCAACCACTGACTCCAGAGAAGTGGTTGGAATCCTCCCAGCAGCCTCTTCAACTCCTTACAAACATGCTGGGGAACATGGTTTTCCCCCTCCCTTTCCAGCTTCTGAGCCACCTTCCAGAAGCACAAAAGGGTTCATTTACTCTCCATGTAAGCCCTTTGCAAATGGCCTTATTCCTATTGCAGGAACCTGGGTGCCTTCACTGCTGCCATTTCACAGCAAGGCCAAGGGCAGAGAGCTCTCTGCAAGAGCTCCTCAGTTCACACCTAGACCACTGTGGAGATATCCCTGCAAACTCCCATCCCATGCACCTCAGCAGAGAGGAAGGAGCTCGGTTTGGCTGCCGTTACCTCCGTGCAGGTTTGCTGAGAGCACAAATGGGTAAGTCTTTAACCAGGTCATGACAGCGAGAGTTTCTGGCTGGGGAGGGTCTGTCACATGGACAAACTGATCTGGGAAGTTCCGGTTCAGGTCGTAGTTGTTGCTGTTGTTTCTGCCAACGGTGCCTCCCCTGTCTCCTGAAAATGAAACACAAGTTCAAGCTTGCACCCTATGCAAGTTCTCACTTCACTGCAAAGGCTTCATCCTCTTACTACGGAGCTTACACCAAGGAATGAATGGAAGACAGCAGAGAACACAACAGTGCTGGCTTCTTGCACTCCAGAACGAGGGGACGCCCATGTTCTCCTTCAGCAGGAGGCCTGCTCTTCACAGAGAGGTGTCTGGGGGCCCTCTGTGGGTGTTTGCACAGGCTTCCAGTGCCTCTCAGACCACAGGGAGAAGAAAGGTAGCGAACCATGAACAGTGCCAGAGCCGGGCGTCATGACCACAGAAACCTCAGAGCTCACCTCCTCAAACCAGCTGGACAAGTTCTTTGCTAAACCCAAGCAGAGCTCTGCCTCCAGAAAAATCACTCTGGACACACAGACTTTGTTCTGCCAATCTGCAAGAGCCACAAAGTTTTAAGGACCTCCCCGTAGGATGTTTTTGCCAACTTCAACATCATGATAGAAGTCTCTATTATCCTTGGACAAGTGCTCTGCAGACAGCCTGGCTCCCACATCACATGTTAGTAAGAGCATGGACCAAAGCACAGCAAGTGAGAGCTGTGTCAAAGGAATGTCTTTTTACTTTAAACGAGGCTTGGGATAGCCACAAACCATAAGGGGACCCAAACAGGGGCAGCATATAGCAGTGCTGAAGTGTAAGAGCTCTCTCCCACAGCTTCAAGCATCAGTCGACTGCCCACATCCTGCAGTGTGGGATCCAGCCTCTCATCCATACATGTACCACAACCCTTCCCAGCCTCCTTGTGCAGACAGCACTTTCTCCAGCCAGACTTCCAGGCTTCTCAGAGGTACCATGAGCCCAAAGGTTTGTTCTCGGAGCTAGAAACCCGTTTCAGCACAGGCAGCAATACCTTCCTGGGACTTCTCATAGCCATCAGGGTTCATAGATGGCATGATGTGGATCCGTGTGTTCTGGACCAAATCTGTCACTTCAGGATCTGTGCCAAAGTTCTTGCAGAGGTACTCGATGAGGTTCAGGAGAAGCTCTCGCCCCACAACTTCATTCCCATGCATGTTCCCGATGTACTTGAACTCCGGCTCACCTGCAGACACATGGCCATAAAAGACAATTATAACCATTACATAAAAGCTTGGAGACATCTCACCACCCTTTCTGCAGGTCATCAACCTATATACCCTTCTGCTCCCACAGCACCAAAAGGTCAAACACTGTTTCAGGAAAACCCCTTGGTCCTTCTGTCCCCAGAGCTCCACAACCAGTGCAGATGTGCCCTGCAATGCTCTTTAACACACTAGTGGCACCCACTGCACCTGATCTCTTTAGACAGGATACTGCACGGAGCAGCTCAGTCTCTCTTCAGGCAGGCGCCAGCTCTACACTCCTTTTTGCTCTGCTCACAGTCTCCCATTGCAAAGGGTCTGTCACCTGCATTTGTGCCTCGCTGAGAAGGGTTTTCCATGTTTTACCTGCTTCATGGACACCAGGGTTGTCAGAGATCTCCATTACATAGAGCTCGCGCAGCTCCACTGACTTGCCCACGGAGTAGAGGTGGGTTATTTTGGGGTACTCGTTGGCGTAGCGCCGCAGGAAGATCTCCATGTCTGAGAAGTGATGGTGGCGGAAGTCCATGGGTTGGATGGGTTGATGGAGAGAGGTTGGGCTCGGGGCCTCTGCCTGCACAGGGGTGGGGGTGATGGTAGAGGCAGGAGCAGATGTTGCTGTCAACTGTGTGACATTAAGTGATGGTGGTATTACAGTTGGCTGCAAAGAGAAATCCACTTCTGTTGCTGCTCCCTCCTTAACCTCGATGCTCTCCCTGGTCACTGGTGTGTAGCTGTGAAGTAAACAGCTGGCTTCAGCAAGGAGGCTCTCCAGAACCTCCCTGCTCCAAGCCAAAGCCCTCTGCAGCCTCTCCACCACTCAAGCCTACTCTTCCCAGCCTCAACCCACTGGGATGGACTACGCAAGAGATTCGCCAGAGAACAAGCCAACAGGACTCATCCCACTGCTACCAGACCCAGCCACGCTGCTGTCCTTGCTGTGTCACAGAGGCAGAAGTTCCTGTTTACAGACTCACCAGGAAAGAAGCCACAGGCTATCACAGAGCTGGCCTAGGGACAAGCTACACCTTCACACCCAGACTTGAGACAACACAAACTCTTACTGGGGTGACCCTACTCCACTTTTTCTTCTTGCCCAAGAAGTTAGATGCAGGTTGACACAAGCAATCAAACAAAGGTGACAGAAACGCTGGGCATCCAACAGCACCTTGCTGCAGTGGGGCATGGGTTGAACAAACACAGCTGCAGCTCTGAGCTGGAGTGCTTCACTGGTCCTTCCAGCCAAGCCCCTTAAGTACACATCATACTTTGGGAGATGAAATCAAGCGAAGGAACACAAGCAGTTGGCAGAGTGGACACAGGCTGCTGCAGAGACCTTACCCCATCACAACTGCGGTCACGTTGTAGGTCCCAGGCACAAGCAGCCGGTGGTAATCACCAAATCTGCCCGCAGTGATGTTGTGAGCGATACCAGCAACAACGATGGTCGCGTTCTCCAGGCCAGCTCCAGTGACTGCATCCCTGACAAAGCCTTTCACACCAATGTGGACCTGAGGAAAACAATGCAAGAGCCTGGCTGAAGCCAGGCAACACCAGGGGAACCACATCCCCAGCCAGCGATCCCCACCCTGCCCTTCCCCAACCACGGCAGAGGACACCCAAGGAAACTGGGTGGGCAGCAAGATCTCAGAACTGATCCTCCCTAACAAATCCTCTAATTCATCAACACAACAACATGAACATAGCAGGGTTACAGGCCATACCAAGGGACAAAACACAGCTCCTTTCCCAACCTAAACTGTTACCTTCTCAAACTCATCCATAGGTACCTGGAGATGGATGCAAGCCAAGGTCTCAGCAGCACTGGTGCTTTTGAACATCATCGGAGATCCATAGCATTGAGGCCATATAGGTACTCAGTGAGTACATTACTCAGCGAGGTCTGCGCTAACTTAACACTGCACCCCACAAGGCCCCTCTCAGGGGAGCTCTGCTGTTGTGGAGGATGTGGGAACTGTGGCAGAACCACAGAGACACGCAGCAGCTTTCTAGCCACCAACCTCTGCACAGCACCTGCAGTTGTGTTACCACACACAGCAAACCAAGCCACAAGAGCAACTGAACACAGTGCTCTCAGCCCACCACGGACACGCGGGTTTCCCAGCTGCTGCCCCAGCCCAGCCCACGCTACCTGCTCAATGAAGGCAAGGAGAGAGTCCCGGTTGTTCTCCCACTCCTGCTGGAGCTCAGAGGTCGGAGGATATTTGCAGCAGGACAGCTCCAACGTGATCTCAAAGCAGTTGGCCCACACATAGTTGTAATCCTGCATCCCACCTGAGAAAATGAGGAAGAGCTGTCCCAAAAGCAACGCACAGACATCCCGCCACAGCATGCACGTTCTTCCTTATCCTTCAGCCCCCTACAACATCTCACCATGATGCTGCCCTCACTTCAGAGTGAACAACCCCAATCAGATCATCATGACAGCCTGTGCTGGGGAAGAGTGAGCTCAGTTTCACCCAGTAACTGGCACACTGGGTCATTCCAGTCAGGCACAGAGAGCTCAAAGATGACAGACCCTTTAGTCTCACTGCTCTGTCAGCTGAATGCAGCAGCACAGCACTTGGGAATTCATATGGGTTCATGTTACTGTGAAGACATTTTCCAGATCCTACAAACCCAGTGTGCTAGGTCAGGCACACCAGAGTCTGAACATTACTGCCACTGAGTCCTTCCCTATGCATTGCAAGCTACCTTTAGACTCCTGGGGTCTTTCCAAAATGAGCTTCAGGCCTCTGATACAAAAGAACCCACCAGGCTATCAACCAGGGAGGTGGCAGCTCGAATCTGCATGCCCAAATCAGTTTCAAGGACCGTACAGCTGTCCTCCTACAAAACCTCTTAGCAAACCTCTAGACAAGGTGAGAGCAATGCCTCCCCTTCTCTAGTGCGCTTTTCCTCCCACTCCTTATCTGATGGTCTCCATCTACTTGGTGTTTAGAGCAGCCCTAGCAGAAAGCCTGACAAGGTCTGACATGGTGACAGTATGGAGTGAACTGCAGCAAGTGACCCTCAGGAAACTCTCTTCTTGATGTGGGAGGGCAGTGATGCCTCCCTCACTGCTGAGGACTCCTGTGACCGCCCCAGCACCCAGCTCCTGCTGGAAGAGAACAGGACTCAGACTTGTCCTCCTGAGAAACTCCAACTGGGAAACGTGCTCTTTTCCCCAAGACCTGCAGCCAAGTCACCAGCCTCCTCCCACATTTCCTCTCTAAGGCAGCAGTCTCGATCAGTTTAAGGATGTCACAGCACCTGGGGACAGCTTGCTAGCTTAGTGCTAAACCAGCCAAACCTCCATGGGCACCAGAAACCAGGAGTGCACAGAGCTGTTTCCCAGTATTAAGCTCATCTTGGTATTCTTGCCCTCCAGAGAAACCACAGGCACTGCTATGAATCAAAAAGGTCACCTTGTTCCAGCAAGTACCCTGACCCTACTTGCCCTCAGCCAGCAACCTGTTTCTCAAGCAAGAATGAATCATGCACCAGCAGGACTTGAGGTCCCCAGGTATCACCTCTCACGATCCAGAGCTCAGACTTCATGCTGCTGAGGACTGCAGATGTTCAACCCTCTGAACATTCATGGGAGCTTCCAAGAGCGAAAAGGACATTCCAAAACCACCACAAGTCTGTGAAACCGGTTTCAGAGTCACCCTGACAAATCCCACCACATGACTGTAGCCAGATGCCATGGCCACATGAGAAGATCATTCCCACCACTCAGACAGTTGTGTCAGCATGGAAAACACACCACACTAAGTTGTATGCACGCTGATGCTCTCTTCTGGGTTACACAGCCTTATTCAGTTACAATCCAGGCAGACTGATGTGCCATGGCCTTGTCCACCAGTTCCTAGATGGCTCCATCCCAACCTGCACAGCAGCAGCTGCAACCACTCAGCCCAGAGACCTCTATGGGACTAAACAACTCCCACCAGTGCCAGATGGACACAGGGGCCCAGGCAGTGGGTCTCTTCTAGAGGAGTTGAGGATGTCAAACTGGCTCTCAGAAGCCCATCTCATGGAACAGCCACACATGTGCTCTGCAGGAGGCAACGTAGGCTTTGGGAGGACAGAAAGCAGCAGCCAGCCTGCAGCTCATGTCATGGCACCAAGTCTGTAAGAAACTCCCATCCTTTGTTGTGCTCTGCCCAAAGTGCTACATTAGTGCTATGGTAACAAACCTCACTCACTTTGTCTGAGCAGTTTCCTCATCGTTCACAAGTGAGGGACCCTCAATGGTGTGGCCAATTAACTGGCCAGAATGGATCAATACCAAGATGCAAATGCACTACCTGGCATTTGCAGAGCCTGCATTAATGCACGGCCAGGAAAAGCCATCAGCAGCCTTTACCAAGCAGAGGAGGCTTTTAATAAATGTGGTGGCTGTGGGCATTCACTGTCCCAAAAGGTCAGGACCACTGCTCCGAATTCAGTAGTCCCACTGCACTTGGGTGAAGCAGAGTTGGACTGACAGCATGAAGCAGCATTTAGAACAGCCCCCTGTGTGGGATGGTACCACAACAAGGATGTCCCAGTTCCTCTCAATTCTTCTGGGAGCCTGATGCTAAGTGAACAGGAAGCTTTTACTGTGACAAATCCATTGTCACTTGCAGCCAGGAGAGCATTGCACAGGACAAGATCAAAACAAGGAGAGACTTTTGTGTCCAGCACAAGGGGCCCCAAAGTGTTTGAGGACTTTAAAACTCTCAAACTCAGTTCAAGACCTCAGAGGAACAAGACCTGCAAATCTGATGCTCAGTTCAGCTCCTGCTACCAGGCTCAGGGAAGTAATCCACTGTGGGCTGTCCTTGCCAGTGAACACCATGCAGAGTGGAACAATTTGCCAGCCCATAACCATCTGTTCCTAGCAGGATGCTAATGCATTTGAAAACATCCATACATGAACCAGAGCCATTATGAAGCATATTTAGTGCTTCATCTGCCATTCAAGCAAATTTAGGACAGATGCTCACCCATAATAGAGCAGCAACGGACTGAATTAGAGCTTGCTCCATCAATCTTGTTCAAAAGTAGTCCACTGCATGCTTGAAACTTTGGGTTGTATCCACTGCACATATCTGGCCTTCAAACAGCCCCGTTGCAGAGCAGGACAGTTATTTTTACAGCATATGGAATGACGTGGTTTTCCATATACCATCTGTCCTGAATATATAGAAGATCTGGAGGTGTGAAGAGAGACCTGTACACAGCCTGCCATTAGCACAGCACTAACTCAAGAGGCAGCACCCGAAAAGTACACCCAAGGCAGGGGACTGTCAGACAACAGCGCTTCCACTCCACCTACCTGCTTAGGTAATACCTGGGATAACTTGCTGGATTTCTTCCAGCATTTTTTAACCCCGGGGTGTCTTTTAGCCCACACTGCCTAAAGCTTCAGCCTCCCAGTGAAGCATCATTCTTATTCTGCAAGGAAAGCAAGCAGAAGTGAGTAGTTTACAGTCACAGCAAGTCAGTCCTGGCTGGCAAGTCAAGAAATGCTCAGAACAAACCTCTCTCCTGCCCTGATCCGCTCCTTGAGCACCAGGACCGCACTTTGGGCAAGGATCCCAGACCTCCTGCAGCACAAGTGCTGCAGAGCTCACACTGACAAGCATGCCCCTGCTCCCTGCCAAGCTCGAGCAGGCAGGGGAGCAGGAGAATGCAGCTCTCTAGAGTCAAGCTCGGGGAGCCAGATACCATAAATACACCACGTGCCAGGAGAAGCCTTCCAGGCCAGCCAGGGAGGGCTCTATTTTCAAACTGCACTTTGCAGAAAGCTCTCCAATTCCAGCTCTTGCTGGAGCAGGCATTAGGAGATAAGAGACCTGCAGCTAAGTTAAAACAGAGAAACGGTCCTGTCTGCTCTGCAGAGAGCGCAGATGGCACAAAGGAAGCCAGAGATGTGATTGAATACGTGGCACAAGTGCTTACTCTGTGGACAGAACTGATTGTCTCACAGCACGAGACCGGGGGAGCAGCAGTGGCAGCACCACACAGGCAGAGGAATGTGTTGGTCCATTAGTTCCCAACCATTAAAACTCAGAGGAGGTGAGGATGAGCCTCCAGCTCCAGCAGTTGCATCACAGCCCCGAGCAGCACAGCCCTGCAGCCTTCCTGGGGCTCTCCAAGGGGAGGGCAGAGTCTTCCCAAGAGCTGCCGTTCATGTTAGATGTGAAAAGAGACCTTTGAACCATCAAGCCAATGCTTGTCTCAAGAAGAAAAAGCTGCAGTAAGAATTTTATGGAAACACTCACAAACACATAAGGGCAGCCAACTGTGCACATCTCAGAAAGACACGGCTGAAAACTTCTACCAGAGCTCACACTGTGCAACCACCTTCTGCCACGCTCAGGAAACAGCCACCGCAGCAATGCCACGAGCACCCACTGCTCTCAGCTCTCATTTTAATTACTCTGATGCCACTAAAAGCTCTTTGGAAGCTCAGTGTGGCTTGTTACCACAGCTGAAACTACCTAGTAAGCACACACGTAACCTAAATCCACTTTCAACCCAAGAAGTGCCTTCTGGTAGAGACCAGAAACACCTCAAACACTTGTACACCAAACTAGCAAGGAAAATAACTTCTAGGAAGGGACTGCAAATAACACTAAGCCCTTCCAAGGCCGCCCACAAAACAGCCCATTGAATATTAAGCCGAATTCAGTTGCTGAACTGGGCTCTTTAAAAAGTAAAGGTAGGCATGTCTTTCCACAGTAAGACTTAAGCAGTTTCTTAACAGCTTTCCAAGCATCATCTGGACCAACACTTGCATGTGTTTTCTTGATTCAAACCAAGCATTTAGTAGTTAAAACCTCCAGAGGTTAAAAAGGAAGGAAGAGTAAGAGCATGTACAACAGAGATAGCCTCTAAAAACCATCTCAGTGGCAGACGTGCTTATCTATTGCAGCTGGAATGCAGAAGGCAAATTCAGCTGTCTGGCAGAGAGCCACCTTTTCTGTGCACACTTGACCTTACCAATTACTCCTATGGTTTGTTCTTGCCACCTCTGCTTGACACACACAAGAGGTTGTTTGAAACTCAAATGAAAGTTAATGGGGTCTGGCACCAGCATAAACCTGCACCGGTAACTCGGGAACAATGAATCCCGTGGCAGTTTGCTTTCCAGCTTGTTTGATTTCACATGATAAAACGTGGCAGGAAAATTTCCACCTGTGGAGACATTATGTTCTCATTTCTTTGTTTTTCCTGGCTTTACTTGGAGCCTGCATCCTCTCCCGGCACAACCTGATCTGGAGGTCACAAGTGTGTGTCCTGTGCTGCTCACAGAACCGTGCGCTCTGGTTATCTCCAGAGCTCGGCTCAGGGAGCTCCTGCAGGATACTGGGATTTCCCCAGCCTCATTCCACCACACATTTACATTCTGCAATCACTGGGAAAAGCCTCCTGGTCCCTGTGTGAGCCTCAGCAGTCCTTGGCACAGACCTGTGTGAATCAGATGACCCGGTGCAGCCACCATGGTGGTTTTGCTGCTTCTAGCACTGCATACACCTGACTCCCCTTCGCCTGCTCTTCATCCACTACTGAAAATAAATGTTAATCCCCAAAGGGACACAAAAAAATTCATACAACGTCAAATCACATGTGCACCAGCCTCTGGTATTGGTGCATTCACCTGTGGGTTACACTTTACATGAACTCTTCAGCCTGGGAGGTGCTCCAGGGGCTGCCACCACTCTCCAAAGCTGCATTTTCAACACCAACAAGATGTAAATTAGATTTCATAGAATCAGCTAGGATGGAAAAGACCTTCAAGATCATCAACTCCAACCTTACAGCTTCAGGGAGAGACCACACAGGCTCCTGTCTGTCACCTCAGCAACGCTCCATTCTGAGAGCTGGTGTCAGTGCACCCTCCCTAGAATCTGTGCCCATGAACCACCTGCAGCCATCGCGCTGAGCCCAAGACCGTGGCTTGTCACTGCAAAAGGGTTTATTTCTGCAGAGGTGGATGCTGGAGGCTTTTGGACATAATATAAACCACAGCGATGGTAGCACAAAGGAAACTGGTTTTCAGGTCACATTTTGCTGTTTCCTGTGAAAGTAGGCGAAACCTCTGCTCTGCTCGCTGGCAAGGCAGAGGCAGCCTGAAAGGCTCACACACAGTGCCACAGCCATTATCCAGACACCTCACATCCTAGTAGGAGGATGAAGGAGTCAATCCTGTAGTGAAAAATGCTGCTCAGGAGGGACAAGGGAACATTGGCCTAAAGCTCTGGAACCACCCACCCAACTTCACTACAAGGACAGAAAACCTTAGAGCTGCAGCTAACAAACCTCCTGACTGAGGTGCTGGCTGATAACAACTGCCACCAGCACAAGGCAGCACAGATCATCCAGGATATCCTGTTCCTTCATAAACAAATTCACCAGATTACACAAACCTCCCTCCTGCTGGACTTCTCACAGCAGCAGGGTGAACCTTGAGCCAGCAAACACCATGGCCAGTGTACTCGATTAGGGTGGAGGGAAGGAGACAGCTGCTACAGAAAGAGATAAAGCTGCATCTTATTTGAACACAACGTCTTATTTGACCACTGAAATCCTTAGGAATGATTCAACCACCGCTGAAATCAAGACTTCCTCTTCCAGCACAGAGGTGATGTGTTTCTGCCCAATAACAGATCCCTCCCCCTCCTTCCCAGGCAAGGTGGATGAAGGGTGAGCACAGGACTCAGCTCTGAAGCCTTGTTTTAGACAGACACAGTCTTACTAGACTTTGTTAAGCTGTAAGCTCTGAAGGACAAACAGAATTCCATGTCATTGCTTGCTCAGTGCTGCTGCCATCATCCCTCAGCCTGAGCAGGAGGCAAAGCAAAGCAGATTGGGCACAGCAAAGCAACACAGCTTCTTCAGATGATTTCTGCAAGGTTTTTGTGGTGGCCTCACCACAGGAGTTTCTGCAGTGTCTGGCGAGGCCGTGGTTGTACAACATCCGCTGAGGACCCGAGCAGTGGTGTTACTCCTAATGACACAGCCAAGATTTCTCTTCCCACCAGCCCACAAAGCCTTTTCCACCAGAGCCTCTCATCACATAGATTATCATTTAAATCCCATTTCCACCAAAACCAGCACACACAGAGCAGCCTGGCTAAGCCAGGCCAGTCACCTCCACACAAGCAGAGTGGTGGCACAGGGGGCAAACTGGCTGATACCAAGAGCTCTCCTAGAAGCCCCCAGAGGTTGAATTTCAGAGGCCTTCTAGATCCCACCCACAGCGATGGATGAGAACAGGCTGTGCAGGTTGTCACCCTCTGCACAGGTCTAACAGCAGCGCAGTCCACAGAAAGCTGTGCACCCCACCTCCAGAGCAGCAAGTGAGCTCAAACCACACATTTAAGTTTTACATAGTTTCACAGCAGGCTCTTCTATGATCATTTACAAAATTACAAGTTTGAAGGCTAAAAACACCTCCTCAAGGAATACTGGCATTGGTTTAATGCCTTTAGCAATGGTTTCCTCTTCCTTGTATCAAAGTTTAGAGACCTAACAACAATTCACTTGGCAAAAGAAGCCTCCTGTGTGCAGGATGACTCTCCAGCATCCAACAAGGTCAGGAAGAATCCTCCAGTTTGCTGTGATCTCTTCCCTACAAACAACTCCCAAGCTGTGATTCATCGAGCCCTTACTGCTGTGCCTGTGATGCCACCTCCCTTCGTTTCGAGCTGCTAGAACACATTCAAAGCTAAAAATACCACTTCCCCCACCATCCTTTTCTCTGTGATCATCACCACTGGTTTGGATGGCAGTTCTCAGTGGGAACAAGGAGCTATTTCTACGAGACACTCTGGTAGGTGACTTTGCAGAGTCAGAGTGACTTGTCAGCACATCTTACCTTCTACATCATACCACTGAGCACCATTTGTGATACCATCTTGGAAGGTGTCTGTCTCCTCGCCAGGGCAATTGGGTTTGCCAGTTCTCATTATGGGGTGATGTGATGCATAAGCTTTTGCCAAGTATCTGAAGACTTCATCATCAGCTGATTTACTGTAGACTCCTGTGGGCTTATGTGTGGGAGAGTCATCATAGGGATAGCTTGCGACCACTGAGCCACCATGAAGATTGCCAGAGAGCAGAAACCTGGGATTGGGAAGGAAAAGAGGAAAAAGTCATACTGGAACAATTTCAACAGGAAGCTGGCTACAGCTGCCCAGCCAGTTATTCTGCTGCCTTCCCACCCAAACCATGCTCTTGGGAGCCTCCACACTCTATTTGGGATCAACGAGGCAGAACATGCCCACTGGATGAGCTGCCCAGTGGAAGTGACACTCTGGAAGAGATCAGACCTTGCTCCATCAGCCCTGTGCAAGAACACCCACGGGGGTGCAGCTACACCAACGTTATGTTAACAGATACTCACACACGCTCTTCATCTTTCCACCACATACAGCACTGAGGGAAAAGAGCTCTCCTCTTCATTTGGGAAATGGGATTTAGTTTCTGAGCAGAGGTAACGTGACCAATACCTTTACCTTGCTTAAAATAGCTCACACGAATTGCATTACACCCACTATCTCTTTTTTAATCAAACACTTGTGTTTACCCACTCATTTTTCTAATGTTGGTTGTGTTAGTCCAATACAATCGTACTGGCATTAACTGGTGCTGCCAGGCAGAGGGAAGCACAAAGCCCCACGTTCTTCCTGCTTCACCCTGGCTTACAGGCCAGTCCCACCTGCAACACAACACCTAAAAAGCCTGAGATATTCTCAAACTGATACTAAGAATGTGCATGAGCTTCCCTAGTAACTCATTTTGAGTTGGACCAAATCTGGAGAGATTTCAGTGCAAACTGCTCCATCTGAGCTGTCCTAAAGGATCTCTGGGACAAGCCACTACTGGTGCAGCTCATGAAATCCCTTCAGAGCAATAACCCCCATGGGCACAGCATCCACCCAGCTTTAATAGTTTGTCCAAGGAAATTTTGTCCCTAAAACTGAGCAAACTTTATCCGACACCAAACGTCACGTGTATTGGTTGGATCCAACCAACAACCCTGAGGTGCATCGCAGCTGCCAGCCACCCCCTCTCCACTTCTTCCTCTAGGTCAGCTTTAGGAAGAGGGCCACAGTTTGTTTCAGTGTGCTGCATTCTGGCTTCCTCTGCACAGCTTCACACAGTTGGTTGCACTGACCTTAGTAGTTTGGACCTTCCACAGTTCTCTAAAGAATCCTAGAACGGTTTGTGTTGGAAGGGACCTTAAAGCTCAACGAGTTCCAGCCCCTGCCATGGGCAGGGACACCTTCCACTAGAGCAGGTTGCTGGGCTTCAAAGGCACCACCTCCCCTGCCCTGCTCTGAGCACAGCAGCTTCCCACTGTTCACCCCCTTGGAGGGCGAGAGCCTGAGGGTCAGCACAGGGTTCAAGGCTCAGTCCTGAATCCACAGGAGGACAGATGGGGAAGAGGGCTGCAGGAGCAGCGCCTGTATGAGGAAACGCTGCTACACACAGCATTATTGCTACATCCAGGGAATTTTCCATGAAACACAGAGATGGGGGAAGCTCTGTTCAGCACAGCTCTCTCTTAACATGTTTGTACTCAGACCAGCTGTATACTTAACCCCCAGTATTTTAAGCACCCCACAGCTCAGCTGACCCCAAGAGCAAGACACGCACGCAACGTGTGTGTGAAGCAGATAAGGAGAAGTTTCCAGCTGCGGGCTCCTGGAGAAGGGAGACACACAACTGGCCACAGAGGCCAGAAATGCCTATGCCCAGCAGGGCTAGTGTAGCTCCTCGCAGGTGCACAGCAAACCCCAGTCCTGCCCAGGCTGGCACAGGAGGGTCCGTTCCATCACTGTGTGCAGAGCTGACCGGGGCTGCTAGAAAAGGAAATTCCACCCCCCCAGGCCCTGCTCAGTAGCGCGGGGAAAGGCTGAACGCAGCCCGAAGCCCCCGGGGAGCGGAGCCGAGGGTCTCCCCCGGAAGGGAACAGGGGAACCGGGCGGGGGGTCCCG